TTGTATTTCACTCCTCTCATTGATTCATCCGTGCACTGCCTTCTACCCTCCTAGAGAAAAGGTTCAGTAGGCACTCTGCCGTTAAGGATTAAGGTCTGAGGATTCTTGAGACTCTTCAGCATGTTCTGCTGTATTATTGCTTTCTATCATGTTGCCTGATAGGAATTAGTTCCTTCACTTTTTTCTAGATTTCCTGGTAAAGAAAGCACATTTTTGTTGTCTTACTACTTGTATTTATTTGATAAATTCCCTTTTTCCATGTCAGTTGCAAAGTATGTTTATATTGCAGTAAAAAACAGAGCTCAGTTATTGTAAACTTTATTTACTTTATTCTTTCAACTTGTGATTCAACTGTTCTAGTCTGAAATGGCTCAGTTTGCATGTGTTGATACCCTCGCATATTTTGTTTCTATCTGTGATTCTTGCTCTTTTGTTGTCTGGTCTGTGACCTTAATAAATAAGACACTTTTATATAATGAACAAGTGATATTTTTACTTTTGTAGTAGACTTTTATATCCTTTGCTAATAATTTGATTAATAAATCTAAAGAGAAGTGTACTATATTTTACAGAATACTACAAGTATCTCTATCAATCAGATAAGCCTAGTTCTTTGATGTTAAAAAGTTATTCAGTTAAATTACCTCTTCTTTCTTCTTGTTGAAGGAACATAAAATAGAAATGGTCATGAATTACAGCACATAGGGGCCGAAAAGATGAAAAGCTCACGAATAAGCTATTCGATAGATGCAAAAAATAGCATTTGATTTCTTCACAAACACAATGTTCTGGGTTAGTAAACACTTTTTTAAAGTCAACTTTTGGGTTCTACAGAACTCTTCATGAAACAATGATATATAAATCTTGTAACGTGAGTTTAAAAACAGATATTGCTAGACCATACACTATGGATTCCATTATTTTATATGCTATTTGAAAAAGTACTGCATTAAATGTGTAGCCTGCATAATTAACTTGTAAACCGCTCAGAGAGTGCTTGAAGCACTATGGGGCGGTATATAAGCAGCATGCTTTGCTTTGCTTTGCTTTAAAACAGGCACAGAGGGCACACCATTTAAAAGCTATTTAACTGTGGAGCATAAAGGAGTACAACAACTGCCATTAAAAAATACAGTACCCATCTTCTTCAGTATTCATTCACTAACCAAAGGCTTGGCTAAATGAAAATGTTTTTGTCTGCTAGCAAAATGAAAAAACATGGTACAGTCTAGCATCCTTGAGAAATTTGGTTGCTGTGTTCCAGTTCCCCAAGTCAGGGTGGCCCTTACACATATTATGCAAAACAGATGACTTTATTTGCATAATATACAAAGGAAACATATTATTGGTTGTTTTTCTACCAATATGTTTCAGTCTTGGCATCCTTTATAAAGACATCTGGGAGAGTCAGTACAGTACAGTTAGCATGATGGACTTGGAACAGGGAGACACATCTGGGCTTAGTCACAAAGCTTATACGATGTTCTTGGGTGAGTCAGTATCTTTCAGCCAAAGCTGCATTAACAGGAGGGCTTCTGGCAATATTCTCATATGATGGCTGCTGTTTTTTGCCATTAGTTTTTATTAATAACAAAATAACCTTACAGAGCCATGAAAATACCCCACATGAGTGACACACACTCATCTGATTTCCAGGGGAAAATACAGGTGAAAGTGCAGGTGAAGCTGGAGAAATCAGGGGAAAAGCAAACAATTATTCTAGTCAGAGATACAAATTATGGACTTTAATATACCTTTAAAAATCCTAACTCAACTGTCATTGCTACATATAAGTAAATGCCAGTCTTAAGTGTGCATCCTATATATTGCTTCCATTTCTTCCTTTAATGCCCCCCCCCTTCAACTCACTGCTATTTTATTTTACTGATTTGGTATAAAGAATGAGGCTTATGGCACAACTCAAGACAATTTAAAAAAAACTACATATCCAGAATCTCGCAGCCAGGATAGTTATTGATGATACTGACCAGTGCTTCTAGGATATTTAATCCAAAAAATGTATACTGTCAATCTCTGCTTTCTGATAATTGCATATAGATCAATCTCTGATGCACATTTGCTGAGATGCAGAACTCATTTACTGTGCTTTTCCATTTATAAAATGCACACACCCCACTTTTCTAACCCCCAAATTAAGAAAACTTAGATTTGAGTATTCAGCCTCTGGGCTCAGAACGCTTGGACATTAAGAGTCCCTGTTGAATGTGAGCAGTGCCTACAGGCTCCACCTCCAATCAGGTGTGTTCCAATTGGTTTGTTCAGCATCAGTTGATGTTGGTTTGTTCAGCATCAGTTCAATGAGGCTTGTGATTGGACAAAACCACGTCTTTTGACTGTAGGAAGCTAAGCCTCGTGACTGGAGGCAGCTAAGCCTCGTGATAAAATGAACTCTGTTTATAGAGGCAAGTTATGGGCCGTTTTGTTCTCTCTGTGTTCTCAGTTTACTTCTGTGTAAAAGAGTTCACGTCTATAGACTGTGAGAAGCCTCAAGAAGGGCTGCTCTTACATCCTCACCAGACCCATGAGGGTAGTGTGACAGAAAGAGAGCCCATTTCAGAAGATCTTAGAACAGACCTGGGCAAAGTGTGGCCTGCGGGCCACATACAGCCTATGAGCCGCTCCTGTCCAGCCCTCTAGTCGTTGCTCCAGTCTGCCCAATACTGCAAAAAAACTCTTTAGTATTTGTGAAGATTAACAACTTTAAAATAAAAACAATCATAACATCACAGTTTCATTTTATTTTTAAGTAAAGTTGGTTCGGCCCCCAAACACAGTTCAGATTTTTCATGTGGCCCCCCTATAGATATTAATTGCCCACCCCTGTCTTAAAGTATGGGCAGCTTCATGTGGAAAAATAAGGTATTTCCATTAGCCTGGATATAAGGCATGGCTTTTGTATGCAGATATTGCCATATAAATAATAAAGATACTGTATGGTCATGCTGACTAGAATGTTGGAGTTGTAATCCAAAAGTGATTCTAAGGTTTGGGTGTATCTATCAAAATTTCATATATTTCACTTTTTGTCATGTAGTTAATATCTACCCTGAACTGATGTGAAATGCTTGATTTTCATCACAGTAAAGGTAAAGAGAAAAGGAGCAGATAATGCAACACATTACAGGAACATGAATCTCAGAGAAGCATATCTTTAGCAGAATCCTGCTGGGTTTGAACTAGAGGAGAAAACACAACATTAGCAATGAAACCAAGTAAGAAAAACACAGGACATTTTCTGACTTTTTCTTTTTTCTTGCTCTGTAGAAAAGAATTGTTGCCTTCTTTTCAGAATGCTGAAGCTGAAGCTTCCAGATGCATACTGGGAAGAAAATTAAACACAAAAGGAATGCATAGCTCTGTACTGTAATGCATACAATCATTCAAAAGCAAATTTTAGTGTGATGCAATTGACTTCACTCTTTCGCAGTTGGTCTGCTGTTCATCAGAGACCTGGTCAGGGCTCTACCAAACAGGGAAATTGAATAAAAATAAATTTGAAATAAAATAAAAATAAAAAGCACTGGAGAAAAAAACACTCTAGATACACTAAAAACACTGAATTAATGTATGCAGTTTTATCAGTGTGCCTTTTTTTAATGAGCAAGGAGCAAGCAACAACCTTCTTAAGATAGTATTGCAGGATTAAATGCTATTTCCTAATCATCATCATCCAGAGGATGCCAGAGTTGAAAATAAAGAATTGGAAGGGCTAACAAAGTATAGATAACTGTCAATCGAATCATCTCGCTTGTGGATGAAACACAATTCAGTGGTCCCTATAGTCATTGGGGTTTGGGGAACAATATCAAGAAATTTCACACAGTATTATAGCAGTTGCAGATCTCAGAAATAACACTATTAGAGCTACAAAAAACAGCAATATTAGGAACAGCATACATACTGTGCCGATATTTAACAGATACTTACATTTTTGGTTAAAACTTGCATCTGTTATATAAAAACAGTCAATGTTTTTTTATAATCTTGATTGACTGTGCCTGATGTTTTTGAAGAAGAGGAGGAAGAAGGAAAAGAAGGAGAAGAAAGAGAAGAATGTGCCACTGAGTTCAGAGTTATGATGACAATTTTCAGTCTTTTTCCAAGCAGAGAATACTCAGAAGTGGTTTACCATTCCCTTGTTCTGGGAGCATCCTGAAACTGCGCAGCTTGTCCAACTCCATACATGCTGCCTCTGTTCACAGGAGACAAAGCAGGGAATCGAACTCTGGCTCAGCAGCCAGATATTAAAGCACCCCTTAAAACATTAAACTTAAAGTCGGTAAGTTTCTCCAGATTTCTTTGCAAAGGCAACAGCTAATCTAAAGATCTGCTTTTCACTGCTTTTTTCATGAAGTTAGCAACAAGAAGAGTTTAATTGCACACATACTCAAAATTCCACATATGGCACCAGCTTTACTCACCAAGGGAATGAAAATAAGCATTGTCACTGTCTTAATTCCTTTTTATGAAGCATTTTTCATTACAGAGTTTTCAGTGTCCAAACCTGAATACCTTTTGAATGTGAGCTGTGAATCCTTTATGAAATATAGATGTTTGCAGTCAATATTCCAAAAATGTTTAATTTATTAGTTCAATATTTATTTAATTATTTATTTCTCATGATTTTTCTCATTGGCCAGAATTTCTCCCCTGCTTTTTCTCATTGGCCAGAATTCTTCTGTATAACTTAGGTTGTCATAGGAGAAATGATGTCACGGGTAGCGGCACATTGCCACTAATTAAAGTGATGCTTTGGTTCCTTATTTCTTCAACTTCATCACATTGCACACAACCCAGAATCAAAGTAGGGATTTCAGTTAGCAGCAATCTGCCACTGCCAGTGATTGCATTTTCCCTTACATCAGCATCAGGTATGCAAAAGGATTTTGGCCGTTAACTCAAGGTGGGAGATGTGATTTTCCTTTTGTTTCTATGCAGACTGGTGATAATTGAATCAATGCTTTTTTTTGTCATGGCAGGAGTACACAATAGATGTTTTCTTCCGCCAAAAATGGAAAGATGAAAGATTAAAATTTAAGGGTCCGATGAACATTCTCCGACTAAACAATTTAATGGCCAGCAAAATCTGGACTCCAGATACATTTTTTCATAATGGAAAAAAATCAGTAGCTCATAACATGACCATGCCAAACAAGCTACTACGAATCCAAGATGATGGAACTCTCCTATATACCATGAGGTAAACTTTATTTCATCTCTTTTTATAAGCTTTGGGTTGTTAACCATTTTAGTTTCAAGGTATTCCTGTCTGTCTCAACGCTGCTCATTAGCCCTCTAGTTCTCAGTGGTACTGAACATTCTTTCATCCTCTCACATCCTAGCAGTACTGTTACTCTAGCTCACACATATGGGCTATGCGCTGTAGTGGCTGATGGTGCAGATCACTTTTACACAGGATGCAGAGTTTTCAAAGCTCCTCTCATGTGATTAGAAATTAGTTGCATTTGAAAGGGGAAGAAACAGCAATTTGAAAAAGTTGTATATTGATATTTTGAAGGCGTGAGCAATCGGAGATAAACTACTGTGTGTTTCATAATGTCAATCAACATTTGACTTTGCATTGGTTCAGCTATTGTATGGGTTGGTTGGCTGAAGCAAGTAAAGGTGGATTGTGTATTATTTTCCCTAAGCAGTGTGCCTGCTCTAGATACTGTTTATTTTCAAGGCACATATTTCTGGATGATGTTAGATAACCTGTACATCTTTAGTTTCCAATCTCATTCATGTTTTTCCATGTTTTTTATCAGATGTTATTAATGTTCTTATATTACATCAGTTTCCTCTGAAAAGTTTGTAAATTTATTCTAGAATTAATATACTGTAATGATAATTTGAGGCCATGTATGATAAAGTGCCCATTTATGGATTGTTGCCTTGTCGTGGTGAAGGGGGCTTGAGTAATTCAGAGAAGTTATGGGCTAGGTCGTGCAGGGACATCCAAGATGGACAGCTCACAGTGGAGAGTTCTAACTAAATGTGATCCACCTGGAAGGCATCCAACATGCTACTGAGGGAGAGCATATGAGAAGTACAAGTAGCTACAGAGCTGATGAAGTGGTTGGGCCAAAGCCGAAAGGAAGCTCAGGTGCGGACGCACCTGGAAGTGAAAGGAAAGTCCGATGCTGCAAAGAAAAACACTGCATAGGAACCTGAAATGTAAGGCCTATGAACCTTGGTGAGCTGCATGTGGCCAAACAGGAGATGGCAAGAATAAACATTGACATTCTGACTGTCAGTGAACTAAAATGGACGGGGATGGATGAATTTATTTCAGACGATTATCATATCTACTATTGTGGGCAAGAATCCTGTAGAAGAAATGGAGTAGCCCTCATAGTCAACAAAACAGTGGGAAAAGCTATACTGGAATACAATCTCAAAAATGATAGAATGATTTCAATACTAATCTAAAGCAGACCTTGCAACATCACAGTAATCCAAGTTTATGCCCCAAGCACTGATGCTGAAGAGGCTGAAATTGACCATTTCTATGAAGACTTACAACACCTTCTAGAACTGACACCAAAGAAAGATGTTCTTCTCATTATAGGG